GGAGGGATCATCCTGTAGGATGGAAAAGTTGTGGTTAATGGTCCTGGGGATAGGAAGTGTGTTAGGGTGGTAAGGAAGCACCAAAGAAATGCGGTTGATTCCTGATTGGGTTGATGGTCCGAGGGGTGTTTTTGGCTAAGTCGAATCTCGCCGTACCTACATTCTCAGTAGACAGCCTCCGACACATGTAATTCCTTAGTGTCGTTACTCCTCGTGAATGGGATGCAGGCGTGTTTTCTGACGTTGCCGTGTCGCTGTGTGTGGTATCCCCAGGCCTGCTGCGTCTCGACACTGCCCCCTGGAGGCCTGCGCGGTGCAGTGGCGAGCGCGCTCCTGGACTCAGTGCACCGCCACCTGTGGGAGCCATGGTTTTCAGTCCCGCCACGTGACGTGCGTCCACCTGCGCAGCAGCAAGCCCGCCAGAGAGCTGCAGTGCTCTTGGAGGCCGAGGCCGGCCAGCTGGCAGCGTTGCAACATCCTTCCCTGCGCCAAGAGTGAGTCTTGCTCTCCATTGGTCTGCAGCTTCCGTTGTCCACGCCAAGGGAAATAAGAGTCACCCACCAGGAAGCAGGTCATGTACGAGGTGGGATGGGCATGACCCTTCAAAAGAGAGGGTCACCCCTGGTGTACGGGACTGGTCCCTGGTGGGAGACTCTTATTGCCCATGGCGCTGCAGAGATATCTCTGTTCTTTTGGTCTTCTTTCTTTCCAAGTCCATAGCAAATCAAGTAGCTTTTTTATAGAGTGTTAATGTTCAGATTTGATCCATCCACCCATCCATCCACTTTCTAATTGCTTTTCCAATACTGGCCAGCAGCCCAGTGAAGCTCATCAGGTTTGAGCCTGGTCAGTATCTGGATGCGAGACTCCTGGGAAAGCTAAGGTTGCTGCTGGAAGAGGTGTTAGAGGGGCCAGAAGGGGCCTCTCACCCTGTGGTCTGTGAAGGTCCTAATGCCCCAGTGTAGTGATGGGGACACTATACTGTATAAAAGGTGCCATCCTTCGAATAAGATGTAAAACCAAGGTCCTGACCCTCTGTAGTCATTAAAAATCCCAAGCCGTTTCTCAAAAAGAGTAGGGGTGTTACCCTGGTCTCCTGGCCAAATTTCCCCCTAGCCTTTACCAATCATGGTCTCCTAATAATCCCCATCTATCGCTTCATCACTCTGTTCAATTCCCAACTGTTAGATGGTGTGTGGTGAGCATACTGGCTCACTATGGAAGCTGCACATTGGTGGTGGTGGAGGGGAATCCCCATTATCTGTAAAGCTCTTTGAGTGGAGTGTCCAGAAAAGTGCTGTATAAGTGTAAGCAATTATTATTATTATTACTGGGTTGCAGGGAGCTGGACCCAAACCCAGCAAGCAATGGGCATAAGGCAGGACACAACCTGGATGACACACAGACACAAACACCCTCACACCGGGGCCAATTTTCCCAGAAGCCAATTAACCTACTAGAATGTTTTTTGGACTACAGAAAAAAAATCCATGTGAACATGGAAAGAACATACAAACTCCCCAGGTCCATAGGACTGTTTGGGACTTGCAGATGGATAAATCTGCGTCTTACAATGATGTTTGAGAAAGGTATTGTCAGAGACCAATCAAAAAGTAGAACATCCGAAAACTTCATAATGAGACTGAAATCGGGGGGTGGAGGCAAATTGAAGTATTCACACAGCCTGGTCTGTCTTCCTCTGGGCGCGGCTGAGGTGTTGCTTTTCTCTCGCAGCCGAATGCCGGGACTCCACCAGGTACTGCGAGAAGGTGAAGCAGCTGAGTCTCTGCCAGCTGGCGCAGTTCAAGACGCGCTGCTGCGAGGCCTGCAGGGACACCTGAGGGCCGCTGCCGGCCTCCTGCGGGCGGGACAGAAAGGCACGAGGTGGGACGGGCACCACCCTGCAGAGGAGAGGCTTTTTGTTAAGGGGGCCGGATTGCCTTGGAAACGACCCAGCCCAGTAACGAAAACCCTAGCGACTGGGGAGAAAAGTTCAACGTTCCATTTAAGGCTTTTTATGTTAGAGGTTTTTTTTTACATTTTATTATGAGGGCTGCTGTGGGGCCAGGAAGACTTTTCCTTGCGCCAGAGAAGAGGATTGCACTCAAAAGCACACAGGAGGGCCTGTGTGCTGAACTCCTTTGTCATCTCGTCAAAGTGTGACTCCAGGTCCTGAGACCTGTGAGACTTATGGCCATCATTAAGGCTTTACAGTATTAGTACAAAGGAGTAAAATAATGTTGTCTTGGGGATTCATTTCCTAGGCATTGTGTTTTCGGCTAATGCATTATGTTTTTCTTTCTTTTAAGAATGCCACTGGAAAATTATATTTAAGACGCAGGCTACTTTGTAGTGAACATGTTTACAGTGCTTTCAGTTTGGACAGGGCAATGCAACAAAAATGATAATGACGACTGATAATTGGCCAAATGTTGCTATTGTTGGTTTACCTCTGAAAGTAACAAATTTGTCCCATTATTAGCTGTTATCACACCATTATATTAAGATAATAGTATGTGAGTCCTGGAGTTGTTGGATAAATGGATTAAAGGACGCAGCAGTTGTAGGATATTGAAGAAGATGAAAGATATGCTGGCCCATTGTAGTAATTCACATCTGACATTGTGTTTGTATGTCTGTATGTTTTACTATAATCTCCTACTGAAGGAAATAAAACTGTAAGATGCTAGTGACTGTTACACTGAGCATAACTGCAATTGAGATCTATATTGCTACAGTATATGTTTTTGTGTGAAATATTCAGGCATTACACATGCAAAGCTTTTAATGCATTTTTAAAGACTGATAAGCAGGAACTGGAGTTTGTTACAAAAAGGCTCACTTCAAGCGTCTTTATATAAGGGATGACCTTAAAGGAATTTTCAAAACAGTACGTCTATTTAGAATGGTGCCCAATAATCAAATGCAAAGTGACAGATCTGTGTATAGAACCACAGTGTGACAGATCTTAATTTTGTCTTATAGCTTTTTTCAAAAATTGATTTTTGAAATCAAATTCCTTACAACCGTTTAGTTTATTACACTACATCTTTTATATCTCTTGTGAAACGAGAGTGAACAGATACTGGAGGAGTTTCCCATTACAGCTGTTCAAACGTGTCACACAGAATTAATTCCTGACATGCGTCCTGGAGCAGCCAGAGCTGACTGTTTTACAATGCAGGATGTTACGTAACAGCATTTGAAGAAAAAGGAAGCATGTTTCATACTTTCCCATGGCCTTCAGAAATCTTGCAATTATGAATATGGAGATTTTGATTTTGATTCACAGATTCAGTTTTGGTAGTACTCACCACAACATTATTCTTCTAAAAACAAAGAAGGGGCCTGTTTACAGGAGGCAGGGCGATGAGAAGGTATAGCTTCAAATCCCCCTGTCTCACATAAGCACTCCTGCCAGGTGTCAGTGTCAGTGCAGTATAAGTGAGCACTCCAGGCAAACATTGGAAATCCATTACAGAAATACACAAAATGATCTTTCAAATCAACAGTAAGTTGTACGCCTCTGAACCAACACAAAAACAAACTGTTTTTCATTGTGACTATGTCCCTGATGTTTAGACTTTATTCTATACTTTCTGATTTCCTGTGCAGCCCTGACAGCACTTGGCATTGTCTAAAATTTAAACTTAAGCTTGACTGTACATCTTTTATTCCGAAAGTTGCTTTTGTACTGTTAGGCCAGTGAGATTCCTTACACCAATGTCAAGAAACTGAGATGGATGCAAAAAGTTCTAGTCAGGGAATATTCTCCTTTTTTTGAGATACGAAAACAAGTCTCTGTTTTGTTCTGTATATAATTTAATGAGATTTTGTTTTTTTGCTGTTATTATTTTTTTCTTTTTAAAGTACAGGTATTGTACCTATTTATTACAATGACTGTTAGTAAAAACTAAGTGCAATGATTTTAGAAATGGAAAAAAAAGCAAAGCAATGTGTAGTTTTTGTTTTTGTACTATAAATATATGTCATCTGGTTCTTTTTTCCTCATATCGCTTTTCAGACGTCCCTATGGACTGTCATTGCAGTGCATGAAATTGAGTGGAATTTTGCTGAATTTGTCAGATTTGGGTATTCTGACCCAAATCCATAATCTTCTTCCAAACAATAAACTGATTTACATTCCTTTTCTAACCTGACCTCTGGTTGTGTCACCTTCTATTTCATCAACATGAATTCTAACAGATTTTGAGCTGATGTAGTATCTCAGTTTAAGAAAGGACTTTTTATTGAAGAAGTGCTTAACTGTTTTGCACCACAGCTTGGATGAGCCCTGTGGTTTGGATGAAGCACAGAAAATACAGTGTGTCATCCTCTTCCTTATCCCTCAGGTGTCCCTGCCCAGATCCCCGCCAATTCGACTCTTTATATCTCTGTTGATCCTGTAAACATTTTGACAGCCTGGAAGTGGTGGGAATAATAATGATGTAATCATCAGTGTACGCTCTTTTATTAGTGTCCGTTCACTTTTTTTTCCGTGGGCGCTGCACTCTTGGGCCACCGTAAACGATGCGAGAAATGTCTCAAATTCAAATCTGGCGCGCCACCAACCTGAGCTACGCTTTGTGAACTAGCTACTGAGCCTCTAGCACGCTTTGCTCTCTACAGTATATTGTGCAGTGTCTCCCTCAATATGGCAACTGAAAACAAGTACACAGTGGAAAGGCAGGTTCCTGTTTGAAAGGGATGGGATGAAATATGTAATTAGTATTACACAGACGGGAGACGAGTGAAGTCCTGGTGGAGGGATGACAGACACCATCCATAATACACTTTGCCTTCTTTGCTTTCCTCAGTTTGTTGAATATTTTAAGGTGATTTGGTTTTCCCCAATTAATTTGCTACTTGTTTTGACTAATTTTCCCAGCCTTTTACAATCAATGTTATTGATGTTACCAAACCAGCAATTGAGACTTTCAATAAAAGATTTGTTGAAAAGTGTTTTGATGGTTCTATCAACCTTGAAATAGCTTAGTATCATTAGAAAAAAGAGTCTTTATAGTCCTTTTTTATTAATGGTGTCGCAGCATTTGTCCCAACACAGGTTCCTGTCTATGACCGGTCCCAAGTACTAAGAAGTGTTGCATTTTTCCTAAAATCAGCAATCAGCTTATTTGTTTTTAAACATTTAATTGCAAAGAGAACTTAGTAAAATCATTTCATAGTCAATCAAAGTTTATTTATCAAATGCACAACAATACAGCGTTCAACAGTAGTTTCTGTCAATGAAATGTCTTTTCTGCAAACTCACCAGGGGGTAAAAATCATAAAATGAAAGTTACAAAAGAGAAGGTTACATAATAATACAAAATAGTGCAATAGAAATGGAATAAAATAAACTCAGACAGAGCTCAATAAGCTGCGATGTGTCCAGGGTGTATGCAATACATTATGTCCAAGTAGTTCAGTATGCCGAATACAATGAAAACTGTATGTCCATGTAGCCATTATGGGTGATTTGCTGAAGGAACTGCAGCTTGGCTGCCTGGACGAAGAAGCTGTTCCGTAATCTGTTAGTCTTTGACTGAATGTTTCGATACTGTTTACCGGACGTAGGAGGGAAAAAACAGTTTGTGACTGGGATGACTGGGATCCTTGAGAATGGACCTGGAATTCTTAAGACATTTAGCTAAGTAGATATCCTGGACGTTTGGTAGCTTACAGCCGGTAAAGAGCTGCGCAGTTCCCATACCTGGCAGTGATGCAACCAGTCAGGATACTCTCAATAGTGCCCCTGTAGAAGTAGGCCTGGATATGTGATGGCATGCCAAACGTCTTTAGCCTTTGGAGAAAGAATAGGCGCTGCCATGCTGTTTTGACCACGATATTGATGTGCTGGGTCCAGGTTAAGTCTTCTGTGATGTGAACTCCCAGGAACTTAAAAATGGTGACCCTCTCCACTGAAGTCCCTTTGATGTAAATAGGTGTGTGATCTCTTCCCTGGTGTTTCATACAGTCCACAATCATCTCCTTAGTCTTACTGATGTTCAGTGAGAGGTTGTTCTCTTGGCACCATGCTGCCAGGGTTTCAACCTCCTCCCTGTACGCAGACTCTTCACCATCTGTGATCAGGTCAATGACTGTTGTATCGTCCGCAAACTTAATGATGGAGTTTTTGTGCCAGCGACACAATCATGGGTAAATAAGGAGTAGAGGACAGGGCTAAGCACACAGCCTTGGGGGGCTCCAGTGTTTAGAGTCAGAGTAGAGGATACTGTACTCACCACCTGCAGACTTTCCATCAAGGAGTCCAGCATCCAATTACAAAGAGAAGTGTTCAGTCCCAGGTCCTGGAGCTTGATGACAAGCTTTGAGGGCACTATGGTATTGAATGCTGAGCTGTTATCAACAAACAGCATTCTCACATATGTTCCTTTCTTATCCAGGTGTGAGAGGGCAATATGGAGGCCAGTGGCAATAGCATCTTCTGTTGACCTGTTCTAGCGATACCGTGTTAAGGGTTTTCTGGTTCCCTTAACACAATACAACCATTGCAATTGCACAGAAATTCTCAGAGAACTTCAAGCTAAACAGTAACTTGATAAGATGAATCCTAAACCTTTTAAGAAATAGGACTCAACAGCTCAAATTGGGGAACTGGGTATCCGACATTCGCTAT